AGGAGTCTCTCCTGGGGCCCGCCGTGTGGGCTCCGCAGTCATGGTGCAGAACGTGGACGACCTGGACTTCCACCTGCCCTCCCACGCCCAGGACATGCTGGACGGGCTGCAGAGGCTGCGCTCCCAGCCCAAGCTGGCCGACGTCACGCTGCTGGTGGGCGGCCAGGAGCTGCCCTGCCACCGCGGCCTCCTGGCGCTCAGCAGCCCCTACTTCCACGCCATGTTCGCGGGCGACTTTGCCGAGAGCTTCTCGGCGCGCGTGGAGCTGTGGGACGTGGAGGCCGCCGTGGTGGGGCAGCTGGTGGACTTCGTGTACACGGGCAGGCTGACCATCACCCAGGCCAACGTGGAGGCGCTGACGCGCACGGCCGCGCGCCTGCACTTCCCCGCCGTGCAGAAGGCCTGCGGCCGCTACCTGCAGCAGCAGCTGGACGCCACCAACTGCCTGGGCATCTGCGAGTTCGGGGAGCAGCAGGGGCTGCTGGGCGTGGCCACCAAGGCCTGGGCCTTTCTGCGGGAGAACTTCGAGGCCGTGGCGCGGGAGGACGAGTTCCTGCAGCTGCCCCGAGACCGGCTGGCCGCCTGCCTGGCCAGTGACCTGCTGCAGGTGCAGCCGGAGCAGAGCCGGCTGGAGGCCCTGCTGCGCTGGGTGCGCCACGACGCCCAGGCCCGGGCCACGCACCTGCCCGAGCTGCTGGGCCTGGTGCGCCTGGAGGCGGTGCCTAGGCCCTGCGTGCAGCAGCTGCTGGCCACCGAGCCGCTGATCCTGCAGTCGGAGGCCTGTCAGGCGGCCCTGTCCCGGGGCCAGGATGGGGTGAGTGGGGCGGCGGGAGCAGGGGCAGGGAGCTCAGACGCTCCACCTGCACGGGGACGGAGACTACACCCTTCACCCCCAGTACAGACTGTGCCCCTGTGTGTGCAAGATGTGATCCCTGTCCCTACCCCTGTCCTGAAGGAGCCCACAGCTCCGGAGGACACACCCGGAAACAGACGTAGGGGAGCATGAGAAAGGCCAGCGCTGGGCCAGCGGCGCCCTTAGCCAGGTGGGCAGTCAGGAAGGGCCCTCTGAAGGGGGCAGCATCTGAGCTGGGCCTCAGAGGTAGGCACAGGAGCTCAGCAGGAGGGAGGGCAATCAGAGAAGACGGCCCAGCTTGCTCACGGGCAAGGAACACAGTCAGGCAGGGCAGCCAGCCACCACCTGCCCCTTAGGAAGCTGCTCGAGCTTTTATGGGGTGCGGTGTTTTATCTGTGCTGGCAGTGGGCCCAGCGGGCAGGGCAGTCCTGATAAAGGGACAGGCCAAGGTATGGCTGGGACCAGGAGCCAACAAGCCCACCTGCTGCTTGCTCAGGGCCTTGCTCCAGAGGATGTCTCAGCAGCCAAGTGTGGGGACAAAAACATGACTCAGGCTAGGGATGGGGTGAGTGGTGGCCCGAATGGCCAGGCACAAAGGGCCGGCCTCGTGGTGGGGCCAGCTGGGGGCCCTGCCCCATTAGGCAGTCACCTTGTCATTGCTGGTGGGAGGTACGGGGCCAGAGAGGCAGTGGGACCCCTGGGTCCTGGGAGCTCTGGACAGTGGCCACTTACCAACCAGGGTGGGATCATTCCAGCATTTCCCACTGGCCAGGACCATCAGAGCTGGGTATGTACATCGGGCCCAGGAGAGCAGGGCTCCCAGGTGCAGGGGAGGCTTATGTGGGGCTCGGGGACAGTGCCTGGGGACCAGTTCCGAAGGTGGGTGCAGGCACACCTCTGACAGGCGTGTGGTGGCTACTGGAGAAGGGCAGTGCTCACGCTCAGGGCACACGGGGCGGCTGCCCTGCCTCTTGCTGTTCTGAGCTTTGATGCTATCGCCACATACGTGCGCATATGCACATGCACACACACGGACACACACGCTGAACCTTACACATGTGCACCGACACGGAAGCACACTTGTGGACCCACAGATATCCCCAAATGTCAAGGCCACTACCTGTCTCAGAAAACACGGCCGAGGCCTGCCAGTGCCGGGGCCCTGGGCATAAGTGGGGGGACAGGGTGTACAGGGAGCCGGGAGACAGCCATTGTCCCCCCCTCTGACCGCAGCCCTCCCTGCCACAGGCCCCGCCGGCCCTGCCCCGGCCGCAGCAGCTGGAGGAGGTGCTGGTGGTGGTGGGCGGGCGGGCCCTGGAGGAAGAGGAGGGTGCCGAGGAGCCTGACCCCCACCTGGGGAACTTCGCTTTCTACAACACCAAAGCCAGTGAGTACCAGGGCATCCAGATTGCCACCCACGGTCCCTGCCACCTGAAAGGAGCCACTGTGAGGTGCACAGAGAACAGGCCCATCTTGGGTGTCCCTGGGCCTCAGGGGCTGTAGGGGTGCCTGGGGGAGGGAAAGCTGACAGTGGGGGCTCTGTGGTCCCCTCTAACTCCAGCCACAGCCCTCGGGCTTGTCCTTTAGGCCATGGGGACCCTAGTAAAGGGTTCTGCTGCCCAGACCAACCGTGTGGGGTGGGCGGCCTGGTGGCTGCTTCCTCTCAGTGCCCCCTGCCCTGTGGGCCAAAGAAACCATGGTCTCAGGGTGGGTTGCAGGCAGCCTGGCGGGGAGAGCTCAGGTTCTGGATCAGCCTGAATGGGATTCTAATTCCAGCCTTCGAGCAGTCACATTACCTCCCTGTGCCTCAGTTCCTCATCTGTGAAATGGGCTCCTCCTAGAATTGAAATGAGGAGCCAATGGCCACAGGCCAGCTCTGCCCTTTGGATGCACCTCTCCTGCCAGCCGGGGGGTCAGCAAGTTGGCCCCGGGCAGCTCTTTGGGCAGCAGTGATGCAGGCTGGCTGGTGTCCTGGCACTGCCAGGCAGGTGGCCAGCCACCCCCATGGCGTCAGTGGCTGGTGGCTCAGGACCAGCTGTCCCAGGTCAAGGGCTGACGAGGGGATTTCAGGCCTGACATCAGGAGATGAGCTCAGCTGGCTCCACCCAGGAACAGCTGTCCCTTAGATTCCGCTGGGAGGGTGACAGGGGGGCGCTGGCTGGCCAGGGCCTGGTGACTGACTGCTGGGCAATCCCTACCCTGGGGTGACACAAACATGAGTCAGGAAGGCAGAGCAAGGCCCGGAGTTCCCAGTCAACAACAAACAGACCTTCCCAAGGGACGTGCCCAAGGCTGCATCTCTCCCACAGCCTTCCACAAAACCCCAAATGTGTGCTCTTACAGGACTTAACTTCCCCTACCTTTGTCTCATTTTGATTTTCTCAAAGCATTTTCTCAACCATTCCTTGCCTCAGTTTACTCGTGTAGCTCCATGAAGGCAGGTCTGATGTGGGTGCCTCCCTCTGCCCTAAAAGCCACCTTTGGCTGAGCAGTTAGTGTGTGACACACACGTCCTCTCACGTGGTCCCCACACATCCCTGGGAGGTGGGATTACCCCTATTCCACAGACAAAGAAACTGAGGCCCAGGCTGTCCCAGGCCACACACCTGGTGCATGAGAGTTGGCTGGGGACCACTCTGCCTGCTGCAGGCCCACATCTGGTCCCTGCACACCCCTGGCTCACGTGAGCACACAGGTGCCCAGGACAAGTGCAGGAGGAACAAGTGAATGAATGACGTTTCTGTTATAACCCACTAGGCCTCTTAACCCATCACCCCACTGACTGAGGTGGGACCAGACCAAAAAGGTCCATTTGGGGTCAGTGGGGTCACCTGAAGGGTTGTGGGAGAGCAGCCTCTAGAGCCGGGGCGGCCTCTCCGCTCACCTGGGGTCATCCTGTGTCCAGTCTGGGTGCCAGGCTCCGAGGGGCCACCAGGAGCCAGGTGGGCCTGGCAGTGCACACGGAGCACCCAGGGCCACCTCGGACCGCACCCGCGGGGGTAGCCCCCACTACTGCAGTGGCTGAGCCCCCCTTGCCCTGCCGCTGGTGAGGGACTTCTCTGCACCCACTGAGTAGAGAGGTGCGAGGGGTGGAGGCCCAGCAGTGGTTCTGCACGCTGACCCCGGCCTCTCTCCTCCACCAGAGAGGTGGACGCCGCTCCCCAACTTCCCTGACTTCCACAAGTGGGGCTTCTCCCTGGCCGCGCTGAACAACAGCGTCTACGTCACAGGTGGGCACTGGGGCACCCCCTTCACTTAGCAGGATCCCACAGTTTAGCCAATAATCTTCCAGAGCTTTCCATGGTGTGAAAACAAGGAAATTTAAAATCTACAGGATCACACATGGGCACAGGGCACAGTCACTGACGTGGAGCCCGGTGGCCTTGCCACGCTCCTGCAGCCAGGGGCCCCCCATACAGAGCTGTGTGATGGCGGGAGGGGTCCCTCTGCCCTCTTATGTCTCAGAAGCTGGGGGTCTGTGTAAGGTGTGGTTGGGAAAGAGCTCCCATGGATGAAGTTTTGAAACCACTGATCTCGTGCCCTTTACTTGTGGGGCACGGAGGGACCTGTCCAAGCCACCCAGCTAGACTGTGCCACTGAGGTCCCACCCACCATGGGACCTCAGCAAGGCAGCATGGAGGCCTGGCCTGGGGAGAAGGGAGCAGGACCCTTGGTGCCTAGTCCCTCTGGCTCAGAGACCCCAGGCCGATGGGTGCCCAAGCAGACAGAACCTCTCCCTGCAGGTGGCTCAAGGGGCACCAAGACGGACACCTGGTCAACCACCCAGGCCTGGTGCTTCCCAATGAAGGAGGCAGCCTGGAAGTTGGTGGCACCCATGCTGAAGGCCCGCACCAACCACGCCAGCGCGGCGCTCAACGGGGAGATCTACGTCATTGGCGGTAAGGCCACTCTCTCCTCCATTCCCAGGCTGCCTCCTGCTCCTCTGAGCCCCCTCCCCACCTCTCTGCAGCCTGGGGGTCTCTCAATCCTGTGACAGTGGCTCCCCACCCCCATGCCCTCACCGGGGACCAGAGAGCCCCCACGCTGGCCCCAGGGACCACAGGTGCGCTGCCCCCAGCCCCCGGTCCTGCCTTCAGGAGCTCACTGTCTGGGGTAAACAGGACCCACGCCAGGGCTCCCGGCCGGGCAGGCCATCAGAGCTCACAGGGGGGCTGTGCCACCCGGACACCCTGGAACCAGGCTCAAGCATGCGGTAGTCAGCCTGTGACTCTGATGCACTCTGGGGACACAGGACACGGGACAGTGAGTCAGTCCCCGGTAGGAGACCCTTGGGGAGCTGAGGCCTGGAGTTGCCAGCAGAGAGCCACTCCCACCCCAGGACCTTGGGCTCCGGCCTCAGCTGGGGGTCCCTTCCTCAGTGCAGTCCCCGGGGTGAGGAGACCCACGATGGGTCCCTTGGTGGTCACCTCTGCCCCACCACACCCCAGCCTGAGCCCGGGAGACCACCCTCCCTTCCACCCAGAGCCTGTCAGAATCGCCCCAGGCACGGGAGTGGTTGGATGAAGTTTGAAAGATGAACCGCATGTGCCCAGCAAGTTCCCCCAGGGCTCTGTCGGGGACCACCGGCCCCAAGGCCCTCCCAATGGCCCTCAGTGGTTGTGCTGAGCTCAGCAGAGGGTATGCGCAGGTCCTGAGCCCCCGGAACTGGGCTCCCCAGGGTGCCCTGCCGCCCAGGGCAGGGCCCTGTCGTCACCGTCTCCGGGCTCCCCCGGGGCGCAGCAGGGGGGGCTACAGCTCGGCCAGTACTGACGTCCCCCCGCGTGTGAGAGGCCTGGGGGCCAGCCTCCTGGGGGTCCCACCAGCACCCCTCCGTTTGCTCGGCTGATGGGGTGGGAGCACCCGGGCTTCACTGCGAGGCCCCATCACCGCTCCGGAGCCGGGAGCCCTGCGCACGGAGCCACCCCCGCACCGCCCTTGGCCACGTGACCTCGGGCAAACGCCCTCGCCTCGCTTCCCTCTGAAATGGGGGTGACGCACCTGTCTGGTGAGGCCGTGTCCCCCACTACCTTCGCTTCCGGGGGCACCTAGTGT